GAAGCGCGATCGGGGCCCAGTCTTTCAGAACTCTTTTCGGGCCTTGTATAATAATAGAGATAATATGATTTTCAAAAGAAAATCTACTTTTAAGTAATCTACTTTTTACTAAAGAGATTTTAACAATAAAATTGAATTGGAAAAAATATTTTAGAAAAAAACTCAAAAACTTCCCCAAGATTCTAAATGTTTACATGGAAAGTAGCTATATAAAAATATATTTTTTTAAAAATAGAGCAATCCATAAATAAATCTTTAATTAAAAAAGTATATATTGGATCAATAAATGATATTTTGATCCAATATATGCCTTTTTAATTATAAAAATATATGTTTTTCAATTTTAAGACATGACAGCATATTACACTTTAAAAGCATTACACCTTAAATAACCACATTTTATACTTTAACTAGCCGAATGACTCGGGCAACGCCCGGTTTTCTCCCCATTAAATTTTTTTATTCAAATACTATTCATTACAATTATAAATTGGCGCCGTGGATGTCACTCTTGTGTCCCGCTCCAAACTTTGTGTCTGAGAAGCGATATTTTTATAGAGAGATGATCTGGCTTTATGTCTTCTGCTCGAATGAATGTTTTTCTGTTAGAATTTTGTTCCTGCATACTAAAAATGAACTGGCTTCACCCATGGTCTCTGCTTTTTGAAAAATTTTCCCCCGATATAATTTTGTATCTTTATTCAACTTTATTCAACTGTAAATACAAAGCGCGATGTCCCGCCAAAGACCCTGGCGCCCAAAGGAAAGCAACACAAGAGAGAGAGAGAGGGAGATTCTATTAACATATGCTCAAGGCATTTACCATATTCCTAAAATTGATTTCAAACAAGCATACTATATACATAGGTAATTTAGTTTAAACACATCTCAAAATAAAGAAAAAGAAAAAAAATCATATATACAGCACATAGTTAATTATACCTAACACATGAGATTATTTAAAAACTTTGATATATATTTACAAAATCTATTGAATACAATGTATGAATCCCTGCTGGATATCAGTTCTCTTGGATCGGTACAGAGAATACCGTTATTGAGTCTGTAGTCTTGAAATGCTGGGCACTTAAGTAAAAGGTGAGTAGAATCTTGAATGCGGCATCCACAAAAACAGCCCGGATCCTCCGATGCATGGATTCTTTCCAGAAAACTTCCGAAATTACCATGGTTGGTTACAAATTGTGTGTTGTGGAAATTAGGGCGAAAATAACTTGGAATACCCCCCCCCCCCCCGTTGAAAAAACTTGTAAATGTCTCGTTTGTATTATTCAGTAAGAGCAACATTCTTTCGTCTATATAGGATTTAATTATAAAGGGAATATCGATGTTGTATTTTTGCTTGTCCTCGAACGATAAGTTATTTAAGTCATATTTCATATTTTTTGCTTCAATGTAATCTGCAATCAATGGAACCCTAGCCAAACTGTGAACACAGTTGTACGAAGTTGTCTTGTATGCTTGAATGCTCCATATTAACATCTGATATTGCATTGAGTTTAATTTTTGTATCGATTTTTTGTTTAAAAATTTGAACCATATTTCTGATCCATATGTTAAAGTTGATCTGAATAAAGATTTATACAATGTAATTCTTTTATGGGAGCTCAAACCCCATGATTTGCTGCACAGAGAGAATAGAAAATTTTTTATTCTTAGAATTCTGCTCACTATTTCCTCTATATGAAAAGCAAAATTTAATTTGTTTTTTTTCTTCTATGATTTGCGAATGTTATTCCCAAAATTTTTATTTTTTGTACTGGTGAAATTAATCCACTCTTAAATTTAACTGGGATCTTCTCTTTATTATGCAAATATAAAATGTTTGTTTTTTCGGAACTGATTTCTAACTTGTTCTTAGTACACCACAATTCGATAGTATTTATTGCTTCCTCTATAACTATTTTTAGTGATGCTAGATCTTTATTCCAGCATATGATCGAAATATCATCCGCATAACAAATCAACTCACTATTGGGCACCTGAAAATTCAACAGCAAATCGTTCAACAAAATTGTCCATAGAAGTGGAGAAAGCGGACCGCCCTGAGGACACCCCTTAGTAATTGGCTTTGAAGTTGTTAGATTGTCGTAACTGAATGAAATGATCCTGGAATTTAAATATGATTGTATCTGATAATCAAATATGATACGTAATATTGCCATTGTTGGGGTACGTTTTGTAATCATACCCCAACAGAAGATGTATGGTGTCAACATCAATTGGATACATGGCTTCCCTCCCATATAGACTTATAGATTACTTTTTGCCAGAAACCTAGCCACTTGAAGACACCAGACATCCATACTGGAAGCTGATGCCTGGTGGAGATGGAGACGTCAGACATCCATGCTGAGAACTGATGCCTGGTGGAAAAGAAGACACCAGTGACATCCAGAGACATCCGTGCTGGAAGCTGTTGTACCATATGTATATATGCCCCTCATTTAATATTTAGATAGAGGTGACTAAAAGAAATTATTAAATTTCAGCATCGAATTTAATATCCGGAAATTTATAATAAATTATAAACTCTTAACAAGTCGGATATCTACAGTAGCCCCAGTTAAATTAGTATTTTTAAAAAAGGATTTAGGAATAGAATAAAGAAAATAATTTATCATGTAAAGATTTAAATCAATAATTTTAGTAATACTCGGACTATATATTATTTAATTTCATAAAGAAATTAATTTGTTTTCTCAATCTCTCTCTCTCTCTCTCTACAATGTTTCCTTTTTTTCTCTCTCTCTCTCTCTCTCGGCAACACGGTAAATTGGAGGCGTGGTCACGATCACGTGCGTGTTTTTTTTTTTTTTTTTGACGAATGAAAATGCCAACCAATAAAAAAATTTAGCACGAGCAGCGAATCAAAATGGAAAGAGGCAAGGATAAAAGAGAGTTTCTTTGCTAAAAAAAAGGCAATCAGCGGTCGGCAGTTAGGAGTCAGGCTCGAGACGTGGAAGGGAGGAGACCAGACTTTCTCCGGCGCTTTCGGGAAAAGGTAAGCCCCTTTGCCATTATGGCTTAGTCTTTCTTTTGAGTGGGAGCTGATATAATTTTCGCATGGGCCCTAAAGGGCTTTAAGGAACGTAATTATGATAGGGACCTTTATTTTGTCTCGCTAGAGTAGATAGAGATCTAGGCTTTCCCCCTTAAAAGGCAAATTTGTAACTTCAAGTCACCTCTATCTAGATCACTATATAAATAGCACATCCCGCCAGTATAGAAATGCTCCCTAACTTTTTTTTTTTTTTGAATAAACATCTAGTATATGGCTTATATGGAAGAATCTTTCTTTGTGTCCTCTCATACATATTTCATTCTTTTGTTTTTCGGTACTACCTCTACATCTTATTATTATGAATTATATTGGAACATAAAACTACCGGCTCCGATGGAATGGAGTTGTGTACTTTACTTTTGCTGCGATACACTAATACAGCAACAGCGGCAAAAACAACTTTATTAGGGCCACCTTGAGGGCATCCCTTAGTCAGATTTTTGTAACATTTGTATCTCATATGAGGAATTTGCCTTTCTTTCACTGTTTAAATAAAGGATTGTATGATTCTTACAAATTTGGAGGGAATGCTACCAAAAAATCGAGTCTTCTAATAATTGCTGGCCACCACGCGTTGTCGAAAGCGCCTGCCATATCCACTGTAATCAAAGAAGTCTGTTCTCCTTGTCAGTGTTTCAATATGGTTTCCATTATATCTACCCTTGTACTATTCGTTGATTTATGTTTAGTAAATCCATGTTGCCTTGGACTCATTAGAATGTTCTCTTCGTAATATTTATTGAAATTTTTTTTTTGTTTCAAATATTTTAGAAATGTTTGATGTAAATGATATAGGTCTATAGCTTTTGCTCGTTTCATAGTTTATTTTATTAGGTTTTTTTTTGGAATGATCTTTACAGTAGAGTCCTTCCATACATCCGGATAGTAACCTAATTCAATGCATTTGTTGAATATTTGCTGTAAAATCGGGATTAAAAGTGTACCTGCATGTTTGATCATATTATTACTGATAAAATCTGGACCTGGTTGTTTCTTGATATTTAATTTTGAAATAATATTTTCAACATCTTTTATTTCTATAAAAAAAATGTTATTTTGGTCTTATATTCAGGTTTATAGCTTCTAACAATAACATGCTCCTCTTTATCTGAATGTACATCATCATCTGGAAATAAATCATTCAAGAGACTTTTCAATTTTTTCAGTGTCCAGCATATTATCGATCATTGGACGTCCTCTATTGTTGTTGGATGATCTTAGAGTTTTAAAAGTCTTATAGGCGCTTCCAAATGGGTTGTCTGATTCATTTTCTTCAATGAATATTCTCCAACTTTTATTTTTATTTTTGGTCCTTTGATAGCGTCAATGTACTTGTTTCTTGCAATTTCAAAGGTTATTAGGGCCTCTTGCCCTGTACAGTTCCTCTCCCACCGTGGGACCACAAGGGTATATATATGTGATGATTTAAGACCATGGAATTGTTGTAAATAGTCTAGATATCTACTACCACATGTTCCACCCCATGACTGTATATAACTTCTTATGTACTGCACATAGAAAACCTCAACTAACATCAATCTGTACCGCGTAAGAATCTAATAAAGTATCGCAACTGTACAGATAGAAGGAATGGAGACTGACAGGAGAAAATTAAGGTTAAAACTAATCAGGCTTAGGACAGAAGTCGAAGCAAGGCCTAGCAAAAGAGGCTTAAAACCAGCCCAACTATAAATAATTTACAAGTCAATACTTCCTGACAGTACCGGGCGTATCTGATAACGCAGAAGTTATAAAAGTCGAGTAACGCCCCGTACTTCCGGGCCAAGACCGGACGTATCTTCCATCAAAGAAAGCCGCAAGGCCAATTACAGAAGAATCACCTAAATAGGTCAACCAATAGAAAAAGGCCACGTGGCATGGTCCCGCCAATTGGGAAAGAATCACCTAAATAGGTCAGCCAATTAGAAAGAAGCAAGGTCGTGGTGTTAAATCGAGGACCTAGAATTGTTAGTCTTCGCTTGGATTCCAACGGTAACACTTGCTCTTAAGATCTCTCTCTCTCCCCTCATCCCATTCCTTCTTGACGTCAGACGCTTTTAGTGGAATCTCTGTTTGTTTATTTCACCTTTGGCCCAGCTGTGTCGCCTTCCACCACGACTGCACGGTAGAGTTGACATCGAGGTTCGTCTAGCATCAGGTAACACTGGTCCCAGAGGTCCCAAGATATCACAGACTCCCTCCGTCCCGAAGAGTCGACAGGATAGTGGACGCCAAGGTACAAGTAAGCAAATAGACCACTGTCTGTACAGAAAGATGGAACAGGGAAGAGAGGAGGATTCAAAGGAGCCCATGAAGACCGATCCCGACTACGAAAGTGGCGAAAGCACCACTTTTCCAAAGAAAGAAAACACTCTCGGTAGGACGCAGGAAATTGTCCCCAGCCAGGAAGACGTCACACCCCCGCCGCCGGTGTCAGATGTCCTGGGGAGGTTGACCAGGACGCGACATCAGCTTTCTGCCGTGACCGGACATCGCGAGAGGTGGAATCGCTACGATGATTCGTACGAGGCGCAGAGCTTCTTCACCAACTACGACGCCCAAGCAGATCGGGCCCATCTACAATATTCTACAAGACTGAGGAAGCCAGCAAACCTCCTGCAAGCACCCCTCCGAGTTACCAACACGCGAGCGTATGTTACCTGCTCCCCCGACCTTCTCTAAACCACGAGCCCAGCGCAAGCAATGAACTCTTAACTGTCCCAAGGAACCTCCAACTATGACAACAGACCAGGACTGTCCCGACATACAAGACAACACAACAGTAGGTTCCTCCTTCTATAACTTTTGTTGAACAATTGCTCGTTCGAACTGAACTGTCCAATAATGTAGACCTACCTCTGCTACTTGATACAGAAGCATCTATCGCTATAATTATGCAGAATACTTTTAAAATAATAGAAACCAGTTTGTAAAAGAAAAATACCTGTCCATCCATTCAACTTAACTATTAACGCCATAGCTAACAATATTTTCACCATAGATTATATCTTTTTAAACGTAAAAATAAGTAACATAACGCAGAATCTAAAATTCCATATCATCGATACACCTTTTCCTTTTGGCATTTTATTCCTTAATTCCATAAAAAGATTTCTACTAATTATAAACTGTTCTCAGCTACTCCTGTATCAATATAATGTACTTCTACCAACTACCTTGTACCAATTCACTTCGTGCAAGCAACACGTTTCCCCTGGACAGGTTAATACAACTGTCCCATTTACTAAATTTTCCCCTCCTGTAACGGGTTGCTCACACGTGGTGAACTCCAACACTCTTATTTAATCTTATTGTAATGTTCCTAATCCCATTTTCAACGCCCCTATGTCCTTTTCTTTCATATATCTGGACAGAAATAACCTAAGTCACAGCCTTCCAAAACTATTCCAATCGTTAAATTCCCACATAACTACACTCCTTCCCTTTACATGCATAGTTAAATCTCGACAAATCACTCTCAACAAAATAAACAACACCCTATCACATAACTTTTTCCAATTGGCAACAAATTTTTAGTGCGCGACTTCACACCCAAATCTAATTTCGAGCCACACAAGCTTTATAACGTCGCCCTACTAAACACACACAAAAAAAAATCACATTAAACGTGTCATATCCACTAACAATATAAAAATTATCGATATGTTCGTACAACTAGCACCCATGACTTTAGTAAATTTGTTATTCTTAGTAAAACAGGTTAGATTTTGTACAAAACAAAGACTTCACGTGACACCTTTTCATTTACATTTTTTTTTTCGCTTCGTGTCACAAAGCCACACCACAAAACTCTTTAACTTCAGGCCAAAGACGCCTTCATCACGCCTGTGACACATTTATTTAACCACACATTGTTCACGTCGATAGTCGCAATTTCACTCAATTCTAACCCGATATCACTGAATAACATTTTTTACTAAGTCCGCAAAATATCGAAACACAACAACCAGTCGATTTAATATCAACAGATACAATATCCGAATTTTCGAAATACAAACACAAATCGAACAAATGCTTGAACACAGGATAATTACAACCTCTGTATCTCCCTATATCAATCCCATAACGCTTTTCACCAAAAGTGACAAATCAAAACGCTTTTGCGTTTACAATTATAGAAATAATATCTCCGAGCGTAGTCCGAATTAACATACCCAATGTCACTAATTCATGGCCATCAGAAAACCGCGTTTACAAAGGTGGAAAACAACCACCAAGCAAGCTGCCCCATAAAGGGCCTCTGACCCAAATAAATATGCCCGCCAGCGCCGGAACTCGCTAATAATAAATTCGAGGGGAGATGAGCAAACAAACAGCCGACGTCTTGTTACGACCCACCGCTATCCCCCCCGTGTTCTCTAATGAACTTTCGTCAGCTATTAAATTAAATATTAGTGCGTGCCAAAGACAACACTTTACCTACAAAAATCACACACACCCACATAAGTTTAAAAAAAAAAAAGACAACATTAGGACTCAGTTAGTTTCACAGTTAGAAACAATGTGATCCACGAGTCGCATCAAACTTAAAACAAATTCGATAAGTTAGAACAACTTAGGCCAACAAGACCAAAGATATCAATCGAGGACAATTTAAAGCTCTCTCTACCCATCCTAAAAAAAAACAGGAACATTACGTTTGGCCTACAACTTTCCATTCTTTCACGATATATAATTTCTATATATAATCTTACTTGCTCTTCTTTCTCGATGAACATTTTTTAAAAATTTTTCATTTTAATATCCTTTATATAATCATTATATAGCTCTTATAATTGTTTTTTTTTTTACGTCAACCAATTAGTTTAGATTATTGTCTTTTTTCTATTTTTCTTTACCAAAACTTATTTACTTTTGCTTTATGACTCTATTTTATAATCAACTTTATATTTTATCTTTCATATCATATCTAATAATCTCAAGTTTATATTTCATGTTTATATCACTAATTTGCATTTATCATTTTATATTTTCTCTCACTTTATAAATTAGATGTTATTTACATTGTTTCATCTTCCGCTACCATGTCAATGCTATCGAGTATATTACTGCTCATTTTTAATTTTCATTTAATATTTTCACTTTCTATTACCCCTTATATACTGCTGTAGTGTGTTAATCTTTGTATCATATCATCACTATTTTTACTTTTTTTTTAAAGATTACTTTGCATTCAACTTCGCAATTCTATTTTCGATTTTCAAATCCTTTAACGCTATATGCAAAGCCTTAATTTCGCAATGTCATATCTCAATGATATATTCTTTTATAATCAAACTAAAAATCATGATCTAAAAACAGGGCAATCTTCAATAACCTCTTAAACAACCACTTTAAAGGTTACTTCTTAATAAATACTAACCCTTTTCCGCAGGAACTTTTAACTCCTTCGCAGGCTAGACTTGACCTACTTTGATTTCGTAATTAACAATCTTGTCACACCGTCCCCCAGATTTACCTATCCCTACTTCTGGCTTGGATACGTGCAAATTGTATTTTTTTTTATTCCAGGGCACTCTCATGCCACACGCTGGCACATTTTTTTTTTTATTATTTTACTCTTTTTCTCGCTAAGCCCCTGACGACTCTAATTAAAACTTTGATTTCTGGTCACTGATCTTCGCCCTCTTTATCCTGCATGCGTACGTCTTAACGACTAATTAATAAAACCCATAACAATCACCCTTATCTTACTTTTCGATTGTGGTACTGTAACTTTATTCGGTCCTTAAATTTACATGTGAAACATGGCCTAGGTTCTCCGCGCCGTGCACATTAAATGGTTTGGGACTTGAGTCAAAGTGACATTGCCTCAACCAAGTAATAACTAACCCCTCAACCCTTTCTAACGCCCATCACGAAGAGATCATGATTTTCCCATCCAATCGTTTTATTTTTACCTATCGTCATTATATGCTCTCTATTAATTCTTTTATTCCTATTTTTGTTTTACTTGTATGTTTAATATTAGTTGTTTATGCTTTATTACCTCTTATGGATACACAGAAATCAACCCCATGTTATATACCAACTCATTTCAATTAATTTTTTAAAAATTACTTCCTTAATAACAGTCTTCCTATTCCGCTCTCTTAAATCCCTCCATATGAACCCTCTCACATCCGGGGCCATCTGTGATGATTTAAGACCATGGAATTGTTGTAAATAGTCTAGATATCTACTACCACATGTTCCACCCCATGACTGTATATAACTTCTTATGTACTGCACATAGAAAACCTCAACTAACATCAATCTGTACCGCGTAAGAATCTAATAAAGTATCGCAACTGTACAGATAGAAGGAATGGAGACTGACAGGAGAAAATTAAGGTTAAAACTAATCAGGCTTAGGACAGAAGTCGAAGCAAGGCCTAGCAAAAGAGGCTTAAAACCAGCCCAACTATAAATAATTTACAAGTCAATACTTCCTGACAGTACCGGGCGTATCTGATAACGCAGAAGTTATAAAAGTCGAGTAACGCCCCGTACTTCCGGGCCAAGACCGGACGTATCTTCCATCAAAGAAAGCCGCAAGGCCAATTACAGAAGAATCACCTAAATAGGTCAACCAATAGAAAAAGGCCACGTGGCATGGTCCCGCCAATTGGGAAAGAATCACCTAAATAGGTCAGCCAATTAGAAAGAAGCAAGGTCGTGGTGTTAAATCGAGGATCTAGAATTGTTAGTCTTCGCTTGGATTCCAACGGTAACACTTGCTCTTAAGATCTCTCTCTCTCCCCTCATCCCATTCCTTCTTGACGTCAGACGCTTTTAGTGGAATCTCTGTTTGTTTATTTCACCTTTGGCCCAGCTGTGTCGCCTTCCACCACGACTGCACGGTAGAGTTGACATCGAGGTTCGTCTAGCATCAGGTAACACTGGTCCCAGAGGTCCCAAGATATCACATATATATATCTTGGTAGATTCAGAGAGTTTGTTAAACGTATTATGTATTTGATCTATAATATCAGCATTGTCCCAGGCCCACACACGGGGGTCGCTTCTAGGCGGGCACTTCTTAATTGGTAAAGCTCGGCTTGTCACCGACCCGAGTCCTCTAGTTTGTAGAGACGGTCAATAGATGGCGCTCAATTCTAGCGTCTATTTTGATGGGAGAGCCGACCATTATTTTATAGATTATCTAATTTAATACAACAACAACAAAGGGCTTTTATTAGGGCCCATTACCCTGTATAGATTCGCCATAAAACAGCAAAATAATACAGCAAATCCCCTTTCTTTTCCCCATGTACACGTGGGCCTTTGTTTAAAAAAGGATTTATTTACACATCTGTTCTAAACTTTCCTCACTATCTCTTTTGTGTATGAATCTATTTATAATTGATCTATAGAAATTATAGAATTCTAATGCTATATTTTCTTTTCTGAAATAGTTCTCAGCGTCTTCAGTGGGTTGCTAAATTTCCAGAAGGTGTTTTTTTTTAGATTATCTAATTTATTAATGATTTTATGGATGTGTGTGTGTGTGTGTGTGTGTTACATAGTATATACCACAAATGACAAAGAATAAATTCAAATAGAGGTCAGTATCAGACACATATATTAAGAGAAAAATGGTAAAAAGGGTAAATTTGTACTGGATTCACGTAGATAAAATCCTGATTGTGAGTCAAAAAAGTTGCTGATGGCCTGTTTCTTGATGTGGCTACAATGCTAGGGAGTTTCCATATAAGATCCGAATTATATAAGGCCAGGAAGGGCCCCCCTTTTTTTTTTCTTTCGCCTCTCTTCAAAGGACAGTTGATACCCCTGGGAGGGATGGACGTTGGAATTCCACATGCCAGAGGCCTCGTTAGTACATTCCAGACTACTTGAGACCCCGGCGGTGAATCTGTCAACAACCCCCCCATATCTGCGCCTCTCAGGGATCTCTCCCACGGTGGCTTGGGAGAAAGTTTGGCGTACTCGGACACTATGTAATCCTCAAAATGCTTCTATACCCTATATATTATTTGATATTCTATCTTCCCAAATATAATTTTAGCTGTTTAGGTTCTATATTTGTTTATCTCTATATCACACACTATTCCTATGATGGTAACGACGCTGTTACCGAAACGTCACACTTGTATATTTTAATAAGGAAATTTTTACTAAGTCACTTCTTACATCCCTTTCCATTTTGTCCAACTGAGCCCAACAATGAACAAAACGGAACTCAATACCATCATCATTTTCTGACTAAAAAAACAACTATTTTTGCTCAGAACCTGTCAATTTAATTTTTTCTTGGCTAAAAATCTGATAAATATCTCTTCCAGATTTTTCTCTATGTCCTGTTAAAACACGTTTTACATGTACATTAGGTCAGCTGATATTACCTCCCATCTTCACCGCTAGAGGCGCTGCTTGCGAGCGAAAGGACAATTTTGCAACGCAATTTGCAAATAACTCGAAGAATATTCGTGATAAAGACCTGAAATTTCACTAAAAGTTTTTCCAGATTCTACTCTATTTACTGTTAAAATTTCAGTCAGATTAGTCACGTATTGTGGACGTGTATAGGAACAAACACACATACATACACTGACTTTTATATATATAGGGATAGGGATATAACAACATTTTACATTTTAAATAAACATTTTACACTTTAATAACATTTCAAATTTTCGCGACATTTTTAGTTTTTATTAAATACTAGCCGAATGACCCAGGCAACGCCCAGGTTTTTACCCGATTAAAAGTTTTTATTCAAATACTATTTGTTACGATTATAAATTGGCGCCGTGGATGTCACTCTTGTGAAACGTCCCGCTCCAAACTTTGTGTCAGAGAAGCGATATTTTTATAAAGAGATGATCTGGCTTTGTGTCTTCTGCTTGAATGAATGTTTTTCTGTTAGAATTTTGTTCCTGCACACTAAAAATGAACTGGCTTCACCCGTGGTCTCAGCTTTTTGGAATTTTTCCCAATATAATTTTGTATCTGATAATCAAACATGATACAGCAATATTGTCATCATCATTTTCTGACTAAAAAACAACTATTTTTGCCCAGAACCTGTCAATTTTATTTTTTATTGGCTAAAAATCCTATAAATATATTTTCCAGATTTTTCTCTATGTCCTGTCAAAACACGTTTTACATGTACATTAGGTCAGCTGATATTACCTCCCAACTTCACCGCTAGAGGCGCTGCTTGCGAGCAAATAGGCAAATTTGTAACGCAATTTGCAAATAACTCGAAGAATATTCGGGATAGAGACCTGAAATTTTCACTATAAGTTTTTCCAGATTCTACTCTATATACTGTTAAAATTTCAGTCAGATTAGTTACGTATTGTGGACGTGTATAGCCGACATAGATACCCACATACACTGACTTTTATATATATAGGGATTTTAATAATTATATTATAAATATTTTTATTTTTATAATAAAATAGAAATTGGCTCATTTTAGACATTTTTATATCATTTTAATATATAAAGCAATAGAGAAATAGCACATTTTAAATTTCTAAAATTCCAGTTTAACATTTATTCATTTTTATAACTGTGATTATTTCTATAATTTATAAAATATAAAATTAAAACGAAAATATGAAGAAACAATGCCTAAAATCAAACTAGAATAAAATTGAAAACAAATTTAATTTTTAAGCGACATTTTGCAATATATTAAAATTTTTAACAATTGTACTATAGATATTTTTATGTTTTAATAGAAACACTTTTATTTTATAGATGGAAATTTTGCCGGGAGGATATTGATCTAAAAAGACAAAGGTCGCTTCTCCTGTCAGAATAGACGCCAAAGCTAGACGTCTAGCTTTGACAGCTTTGACATCTAAAGCGACCTTTATCTTTTTAGACTTTTATTTTAATTGATATTAGTCGATTTTATGCATTTTTATATCGTTTTAATAAATCAATAGAAATATTGCATGTTAAATTTCTCCCCAAAAAGTTAATTACTGTTTATGTTTCCCATTTTTGCGCCACCGCCGTGTCAGGATGGTAAAATGAGCACGCGGGATCGGTAAGAATCTCTGTTCGACTCATTTTTATTTACCTTTGTGCATTATGAAGAACAAATCAAGTCACCTGCAGGGAGCATCATCCAACAGCTGCGTCAACAAGGGAGCGCACTGCTGGCCAGATGGGCTTCTTCCTTCATGACTGATCTGTCCGCCCCTCAGTTATTCTTGGACTGACACATGTCGTCAAACTGACCCTGTTTGTCACCACGGCGTTCAAAGCACTCGTGCCAGTCACAGCTGTTTTCGAGGGCGATCAGTTCGCGCTCCTCGTTACACAACTGGTCTGGATAATTTCCTTTCTCCAGTCTTTAGGAGGACCTTTAAACTCCAGAATGTATCAGATTATATGAGGCCTGTCTGCAGTCCGAAAACCTAAGGCCAGGATTAGCGTCGCATCTTGTTTTTTGCACCACGTTTTAACTTGGGCCCTCTTTCCACTCTCAGGCAGTGATGGCGCCATTGGCTCTTCTGGTTTTGAGCGACCAGTATATCACAGGATGGTGGTTCTCTACATGATGGCAACCATAGTTCTTTCCTTTAGATGTTGTCTGTGGCTTGGCTTTCTCCATACGCACCTCCTCTAGCCTCGTCCTTCTGTATCTGCGGAAACTTCTATATTGCGCCCCCGTCGCTTGTACTCGCGTCGGCGCTGTAGATCACTTTTCTTTGCTCTGGTAGTGTCTTCCCGTCCCACGCTCTCAATCTCGTGCCTTGACTAACACATATTTGTCTATGTCAGGCTCCCTGAGATTGTCGAGACAGATTCTTTGCTGGATTAAGTCCTCTGATGGTCTCCTAATTTCTTTTTCTAGAATTTTTCTCCTTCCAACTCTCTTGAGCCTTTTCATGCCAACCTTGCACTGGACTATGGACTCTTAAAAACTTTCGGAGGCGTCGCGCTGCGTGTCAATCTCAATTACACTAGAACTATTTATAGGAGATGGCTGTTTGCCTTGCAATTTGTCAGTTAAAAAAGCTAAGATGGCGGGGAAAAGCCCGTGGCTTACCTCAGAGTGGAATGCAGACAACAGCGCTAACACATTACATGGGACATTCTGGTGGCAGACATTGTAGTCGGACTTTCCTGAAGCGCCAAAGGCTCCGCTGCTTTCAAGTGCAGAGTGCTTCGATCATCCAGTCTTGTCGCACTCCCTCTGTCACAGCCAGTTGGATTTCCTCGTAGTCCCAGATAGTCTGGCCTCGTCACAGCAGTCTGGCACGTTCATCGGCCCATCATGATCGCCTAGGATCTCTCGGATATTTTCAGATGGGATCCCGGGGCTATGATTTCTACACGGCACATTTGGGGTATATTCTCCTTCTGTCCGCTTGACTTGGTTCAAAGCACTCGTGCCAGCCACAGCCGTTTTCGAGGGCGATCAGTTCGCGCTCCTCGTTATACAACTGGTCTGGATAATTTCCTTCTCCATGTCGCCATTTACAGTGAGATCGATCGCACATCTTTATATATATTCTGTAGGGCGCCCTCCATCTTTCCAAGCACTACCTCTTGAGCGTCCTGTCATCGGGCGACCTTCTCATTCAACACTGCATATCGCTGATCGCTCTTCCCACAGATTTTGTTGGGGCACGTTTTTTGTAACCATACCCCAACAGAAGGCGTATGTATAATCAAATCAAATGGATACATGGCTTCCCTCCCACATAGACTTACAGACCATCTTTTTGCCCAGAAACCTAGACAATTGATGACACCAGACTTCCATGCCGAAAGGTGATGCCTGGTAAAGAAGAAGACATCCAGAGACATCCGAGCTGGAAACTGTTGTTTCATATGTACATATATTCCCCTCACCTAAAATTTAGGTAAAGGTGACCAAAAAAAAAAAAAAAGGAGAAAAATGGAGAAGGAAGATCTCTAAAGACTGAACCTTATAAAATATCCT